TTGGCGTGGGGTTTGAGACCCGCTTAAGGGCCCCGAAAAATGGTTTTTTTTTTCAATAGACCAGCCAACTTTAGATAAACGATCTACAAATAATATTGTTAAAAATTCAGACCACAGTCTTAGTTTAGTTTCAGTTTAGCTTAGTAGCCTATTTTGACTTTCATGTAGGCCTAGGCCTACCTTCCTAGGCCTACCAGAATATAAAAAATATTTTGATTTATTGAAATATTACTCTCCAATATTTCAGTGTACCGTCTTTGAGGAATACACTCCGTATTAGTGTAGAGTCGACCACAATTTACTTCTTTTAGAGACGACAAAGATCTAGCGCATGTACGTGTACAGGTGTATAGCCTTTAGTTTCTACGATGTGTTTTTTTTATATTTTTTTTATATATTTTTTTTTTAGTTTAACATCAATGACCCCCAGAGCCTTAAAATTAACTTGTTACTTAGAGTAATGCAAGTTCGGTTTTTAAAAAGCAAATAATGAATTTTCTGGAAATTTCGATTACCAGAAAATGAAGATCTACAGTCCGATTTCATGTTTTAAGTTTTAATTTTACCGTTAAGGCCTATAATTACATGTACGAGAGAATTAACCATATACAATTTCCATTACAATAACAACAGAAGATTTAAAAACCTATAACTCAAAAACGGGTTTGCAGATTGTTATTTTTTTCAACAATTTTGGGCAAGGTGTAGGCCCTTAGTGATTAAGTGTTAAGTTTTGGCATTTTTGAAGAAAACTTATGGACACGTATGATTTCATTACCAATACAAAAATCGGCTTCGTGATAATATATGCATAACACCACTCTTAAACGTTTTCTTTGTGATTTTATTGAGACAAAAAGTTAAAAAGGATGAATTCAGTCAAAAAAATCCAGTGCAATTACTTAGCGCTACTTTAATTTCAGAAAGGATTTTTTTTTATTTTGGCACAGCGTCCAAAATTGCAATCAAAAATGAACTCGGCGTTAAAAGTTTTTTTTTACCAATCACATCGCGCTAGACTAACAGAATCAACCAATCAACGGCGAACTGTTCCTGATTCCCCGACAGGGGTAACTGACCATTGCCCAAGGTGAGCTTGTCGTGCAGGAAATGAGGAACTTCTCTCCGCCAACGGTGACCCACCACGAAGCCCCATTGTAACTCCACCGGCTGAAGTCGCACCCGCAGTAGTTGCCCTGAACTGTGTACGTTTTCTTCTTCATCTGGCAGTCAATCGACATATCCGAACTCACGATGTTCTGCGGGCATTGGATTTCGTAGATCTCGCTACCCTGCTGGAGCTGAACTTTGAGATTCGACCCCCAGTAAGGGTTGGTCAGTGTCTTGCACGAGCAGGATGGGGATGTCACTGGCCGTTGGGTGACAGGGGGTTGAGTGGGTTTTACAGTGGCTTTGGTGACTGGTGGTAGCGTCACTTGCTGCTGGTTGGCGCACCCGCTGTTGACAGAAGATGGCGTCTGACTTGGCGGGGACTGTTGGGTTCCGTAAACTACCAGCTTCACGTCGTACACGGTACCTACAAACGAGGATATCATAGGAATGTATGTAAATATTTCTGAGAAAAAAGCCTTAAAATTGTCTGATGAACTTTATTGGAAAAGGGCCTTGTAGGCAACGTTTAAGATATTAAAAGGGGGTAAGGGGATCCTAACTATAAGTAAAAAAAATACTGATTGAATTTTTGTTTGGCTTGGGCATGCAGCTTACTATCAATATCACAAAATACTTGTACATGTATATCCAAACAAGAAAATTTAACGTCGCCACCTCAACCATCTTCTCAAAATTTGTCCACCTTACCAGAATGGCCTTGGTTAGGGTACAGGCTATCGATGACCACCTGCCACGTGCCTCGGCCCTGCTCTCCCCAGAACTGGACGCTGGACACTGTCAGCTCCAGATACGCTGACCACTGGTCATTGGGTCTACCGGGGATCATGACGGACTCCGTGCGGGACGGGGAACGCAGGTTGACCTTGACAAAGCCGCGCTTGGTGAATTTCGTCAACACGTACAGCTGCACGTGCTCCACGTGATTGACAGCGCATTTCCAGCTTGGAAGATCTAGGGACACGGTTCCAGGAATGGTTCTGTTTAATATAATATAATATAATATAAAATAATATAATATAATAATTTACGCTGCACAGTAACAAACTTACAATCTTGCCAACATTACAGTAAAGATTAGGAGAATGAGGTTATACGTGTAATTAGGCCTTCTTTTACTGGAGCATTCGCACTGTTAATATTGTGGCAAACCATACAGACCATGCCAAACAACATATTTTGCAAATATTACAGCAAAAGAAAGATCCCAAGAATGGAATTATAAATATTATCTCTATATATTTGTTACTTTTGTACCTGTTAATATTGCGCAGAGTTACCTCGCAGGACTCAAAGGCTGGTACTGATCGCCATTTCTCAGCGTAGCGCACCATCTTCTCGGCGTCCAGCAAACCGAAACCGAAAGCACGGCTCACTGGAAAAAAAAAGACATACAAACAATCAGAAATTATCGGATGGAAAAATAATAACAACAACAAATTAATTTTTTTACTGTCAAACGGAGCCGTACTATGAGACGCATAAAGGACGCCGCCCAGTGCAAAGGGGGCTTAAGGAGCGTATACGGTTATGACGTCACCTTTTTTCCCTGCCGCGTTCCAGGACCAGAGATTGCCTCTACCAAAGTTGTTGTTGGCAGTTTCTGCGATCAGATGTTGCACGTCACGGGCACTAAGACGAGGGCTGTTGAAACAGAAAAGAAGAATGAATTAGTAGGCCTATCATATGTTACATTTTTAAAACTTAAAACACATATTTATTTATTTATTTACTTTATGAAGGTAAAGCATCTTTTTTCTCCTTGTTATGTTAAAATCAAACAAGATGATTAATAAAGATTTACAAATCAATAGCAATAACAGTAATAACTCGCGTCATTTTTGATAACATGTAACTGAAATGATTTAAAAACCTCTATCGTAAAAAAAAAA